CTGTATTTAAAAAACAAAACAAAAACAAAACATTTGAATATAACCAGAACCATTTATAGTTATCATGTGCTAGCAGGAATTCACACTCATTTTTAATAAACAATGCTTTGGAAAATACCTGTATCAGTGTTAATTGAACTTTTCACTGAGAGGATTGTCTCAAGTCTAATTACTGAATCTCAAAATTAAATGTTTTGACAACTCTAGTCTGGGTGGAAGTCTTATCAAAGAGATTCAAGCGGCAGATTAGCTTTGATGAAATGAGGTTACACAGAACAATTGCCATCTATGGGTGAGTATCTGCAGAGAAGGGTGCTTACAGAACAGCCATGCAACTACAAAGAAAAGGAATCTGAAAGTATCTTTATAGGAATCTGAAAGTATCTATAGTATCATAATAATTTCTTCCCATACTCATTAGGGGAGAGGATCTGAAAATAAAACCGTTTACTAATCGATGTGACTTTAATGGGGCAGCTAATGCAAAACAAAGGAGGAGGCATTAATATGAAATTTGAATGGGCTTGGGCTAATATTTGTTCGCAAAGTGAGCCAGTGATGAGAACTAATTCTATAAACCACCCACGTTATGATAATTCATGCTCAAATCCTGCAGCCATTGCGATTCAAGGTCACTGTTCAGTTGCGTTTGAGGTAATAGCAGCTTGTCTGAAGGGTCTAATCTGATTATGTTTTATTTAAATCTTATTTCTTGTATGATAATTATGGTTTTTGGACTACTGAGTTTAACAATTAGAAATACATTTTCTTCACACTTGTGTGATTGTCATTATAACTTTACTTTGGATGCTAGATTTCAGTTGCATTTAACTAGATTTCAGTTGCATTCATTACTAGTTGTAAAGCCCTTTTCTGTCTGACCTTAGGTAACAATTGTCATAATTTTTGCTCAAACACCCTTCATTATTGGTTACATGGCTTCTGAATGATTTTTATAATTTATGTTGGCTGAAGAAATGTGTTTTGGAGGGGTTTGCAAAAAATTTGTGGTGTTTATGTACATATGGGGATCAGACACTCCCAATTAACCACACAGATGCCCACTCTGACGGAGGATCTGTTAACTGAAGATGCTCGACTCTCATTCAAACACATTTAGAATGTTATTATATGTAAAGTTACTTTTGTTTTTAGTAATTTACTAATCTGTCCACATCTACAATCCTCCAGGTCAAGAAGGCTGATTTAGTGTTATTGGCGCCTTCATCCATGTGGTCCTGTTTTGAGTTGCATTTTGATGGGAACACAGTCACATATGAGCATTGCTGGCTGATTGGAACATGAATACAAGGAAAGGTCCGGATGCTGCCAAAAGAGCTTCTGATAAAAAAAATTGCATTAACTCTGGCATGTAGATGGTCCATACATACAAACCACCCCCAAAACCATGATACGTCCTCCACCAACTGTGGATTCTTTATACACTTTGGGTGTAGTATTTCCTCGGTTTAGCAAGAAAAATGTTTCAAGAGCTCACACTTAGCTGATAATCAATAAAGCGTATTTAGCATGCTGTCCCGGGAGAGAGCCCTGAGCTCATAATATCCTCGAGCCCGGGGCTCTCTCCCGTTAGAAGAGCAAAAGGGGAGTTCGAGCTCTGGTAGGTCTCAAGAACTCCCATGCTTGTCTCTGTGTAAACTAAGGTTGTCTTAGGTGATAATTTGGGGGCTTTAAGACTCTGGTTATTTCTAATGCTTCCGTAATCATCCAATAGGGCAGATTACGGAGCTAATGAGGAGCCAGTCGTGTACTTTTATCACTAAACTAGACAAATTCTCTGTCCATATAACACAAACATGTGGTCACTACTTAATATGTTTTTTGTAGTAAAATAATAATCAGTCCTGTGGTTTCCATCCGATGAAACTGAAAATTCATGCAGGAAACATGTACTGTGAACTACAGAAGCATTAGGAGGATGCCATCGATGTCTAATGGATGTATTAACACCGCCGTGCAAGGTTGGTTTGTGGGACCAACATCTGGACACTCATAACATGTTAGTCGGGTACGACTAGCATGTAATCCACTCAGTAAAGTGAATTAAAAAAAGTTTTAACATACTTTTGCTAATTAGATTGCATAGATTTCTCTCCATAAACCCATCAACCTGCTTCTTGTTGGCTTATTATAAGTGCATATTAATGTAAGATTTATACATTAAATCTCACATTTTAAATTAATTGTCCATGAATGTTTTATAGTTTAACTTACACTAAGAAATTCTCTTAACAGAAAATTGCACTGATGTAAGGCTACATTTTTTTCTTTTACATTTGCAGACTGTAATGTGAAATCATTTTTCAAGTGTTATACTCACTTGAGAACTTTTAGAAGTGCTACTTTTTACTCATACTTTGAGTAGTATTTAGAACAGATACTGTTGTTATACTTGCAATACATTTTTTGGCAAGTAATGGTACTTTTACTCAAGTATGATTTTTCAGTTCACTTTCCACCACTGTTGACTGTCCATTAAAATATTTCACATTATCTTATCCTCTTAATTTTCTTTCACAACCAGCCTTTCTTTGGACTTGAATTAGATAGTGTTGTAAAGATGCCATATTGTACAATTAACAGATTTGTAATGACCAACTTCGGGCAGCATGGTGGCACAGCATGTAGCGCAATCACCTCACAGCAAGAAGGTTGTTGGTTTGAGCCCTGGCTGGGTCATTTGGCATTTCTGTGTAGAGCTGTTCTCCCCGTGTTCGCATCGGTTTCCTCCGGGTGCTCATGTTTTTCCCCTAACAAGACCAAAAACATGTGCTATATGTGAATTGGGTAAGCAAAATTTTCCGTAGAGTGAATGAGTGGGTATGGATGTTTCCCAGTGATGGGTTGCAGCTGGAAGGGCATCCGCTGCGTAAAACATGTGCTAGAAAAATGTTGGCGGTTCATTCTGTTGTGGTGACCCCAGATTAATAAAGGGACAATGTCCAATTTTTCCCTAAAATATTGATTTATCTTACCACAGTACACATTTCCACTGTGTGATGGTCCACCCCAAATGCCCCCCAGCACAGTGAAGTCGACTAAAATTCTGCAAACTACTAACATTGGGCTTCCTTTTGGCACAGTACTGTTTTAACTAGCATTTGTGGATGTAACTATGTATTTTGGTACTTGACAAAGTGGCTCATTTGGTTATATTTTACACATGAATGATGCTTCCAGATGCAGTGCCACTAGAGGAATCAGAGATCATGGTTGTTCAGCGAAGGTTTTGCGCCCTTGTCCTTTACGCACTGAAATTCCTCCAGATTTTTTGAATATTTTAATTATGTTATACACTGTTGAAGGCGAAATATCCAAATGTCTTCCTATCTTTCTTTGAGGAACATTGTTTTTAAACATTTCAATAATTTTCTCATGTATGTGTTGGCAAACTGGTGATCCTCACACCATATTTGCTCCTAATTGACAAGAACTTTGGATGCTGCTTTAGTACAAAACATAATTACAATCACCTGTTGACATCACCGGTTTGAAAAATTGAATTTTTCTGCTAAATTTAACTAGCCCTAAATTGCTCCTGTCTCATGTTTTTCTTTTTTTGGAATGTGTTGCAGGTCTGAATGAAAGGAAAGGATGTAATTTTACAAATTAAATGAAGTTGACAGGACAAAATATGAAATACTTTGTGTTAATATTGTCTGCAGTGAAGTCACAGTAAGTTTGGAAATTTTAAATTTGGAAATGAAATAGCATATTTTATTATATTATGATTAATATTATTACATATTATTATGAATATTATTATTAATAACATTAATAGTAATAAAAGCAACAATGACTGGACTAATTTCATTTGAAACTACATACAATAAGTAATAAATAAATATTTTAGAAATAAGCATATACTGGATATGTTGGCGGTTCATTCTGCTGTGGCGCCCCTGGATTAACAAAGGGATTAAGCCAAAAAGAAAATGAATGAATGAATATATATATATATATATATATATATATATATATATATATATATATATATATATATATATATAATTATATATATGTACAGATGAAGGCAAAATTATTAACCCCCCCGTAACCCTCCTTTTTAAAATATTTCCAAAATACTGTTTAACAGAGACAAGTTTTTTTTTTATTAATTTTGACTTCATCTATATATATATATATATATATATATATATATATATATATATATATATATATATATATATATATATATATATATATATATACAGTTGAAATCAGAATCATTAAGAGAGGAAGTATTATTTGTTTTATTTAGTTAGTTTTATAAAATCAGTTTTTAATAATAATTAAAAAAAAACATTTGCCAAAATGATCAGCCCTTTTAAGCTATAATATTTTTCCGATAGTCTACAGAACAAAGCCTTGTTATACAATAACTTGCCTAATTAATCTATCCTGCCTAATTAATCTACCTAATTAGCCTAGTTAAGCCTTTAAATGTCACTTTAAGCTGAATAGAAGTGTCTTGAAAAAAAATCTAGTAAAATATTATTTACTGTCATCAGGACAAAGATAAAAAAAATCAATTATTAGAAATGTTTTTTTAAAACTATTATGTTTAAAAGTGTGTTGGAAATATCTCTCCGTTAAACAGAAATTGGGCAAAAAATAAACAGGAGGGCTAATAATTTCGGGGGTTTAATTATTCTGACTTCAATTGTATAAAGATTTACCTTAAAAAGAAAACTTACACAAAAGACAGTTATGAGAATTAGACCTAATTTAATCCTGACCTGAACTTGGTAAAATAATTATAAAATAATAAAATAAATTAATTGTAAAAATAATATTTGCAAAATAATAATCAGTTGGATTTGTGTTCTACAAATTTATGCTATACAACTAGTTTTTTTCTATTATACTTTCACTCCCCAAAGGATGATACACAGAATTACCTTGTGCAGTGAATCTGTTTGTCAGTGAGGCGTATGTTTTTGAAAATAATTGAACATTAAAAATAAACAAAATTGCATTGTATCAATAGACTGCACCTTTAAGAAGGGGACCTCCCACGTGTTGCATGTTGTCTATGCCACAGGTTGCCTACCTGTCTCGCATTACTCTGCACTAACCTCCACATGCCAGCGCTCTGTTCTCTACAAAGAGAAAAGAGAATGTGGCTCAAATCCCTCGTCACGGAATCGTTCTCGGATTGACTCCGCCCTCAAAAGTGTCGCGACTGACACATTTGACATTCTCTCAGAAAAAAAATAAGCTTTTGTGGTCGAGGTCCTCAGAAACCTCACGGGTTTCCTGGCTTTCTCCACAGCTGTGAGGAGTTGTCGCCTCTTTAGTGTCGATTATGCTGGACCCGTCCTCCAGCGAGGAATCTGAGGGGGAACTGCCACCTGAGGACGACCCACCCGTTAAAACTGGGAAACCTGTAAAAAAAAGTCCCAAACCTGAAAAGACTTCGGATGCCTCGCGAACCCAAACCAAGGAATCAGTTCCTTCTCCTGCTGAGGCGGACAAAACCGAGCAGGAGAGACTTAAAACGGAGGAAGCGGAGAGGAAAATTAAACTACAGATTTATGTGTTTGTGCTGAGATGTATCGCGTATCCGTTTAACGCTAAACAGCCCACAGATATGGCTCGACGTCAACAGAAGGTGAGTGACGGTTAAACTACTCTTTATAATAATTCGCGCTTTAAATTATTGCGCGCGCACCATTATGACTTCAGGGCTTTGAAATAAACCGCTGCCAAAAGCGTTCACTTGTGCAAACTTATTTTTTTTTCCCACATCCATCACATCTTTCAGGAGTTTATTGTTTTGGTTCAGAGGTCGTAAAATACTTTTAGAGGTTTTGAGAAGTAAAGGAATTCGTACTGTTAATGTAAAACATCTCAAGCAAATTTGTTGTTGTTTTTTTTCAAGAGTTTAATGCAAATAAAGGTTGATATGAAACTTCAACCCTCTTTGTTGTGCTACATGTTTGATTAGAGCAAAATTAATAATATTTTTATATATTAAAATCAATAATATGTAGAGTTTACACAGGCTACAAATAACAGTGTAGGCTATTGGTGCAGCCTTTGTAATATAAACAGACAAATTTGTAATGTTGGATGAATACGTTTTAATTAGCTTTTTAAATATAACTTTAAGCTATAAATAGTTTTTCTGAAGACAATGTGCAACAATGTGTTTCCTATGTCAGAACATTTTAAAATGATGAGCAGGACGGATGTGTGACTAAAATGTGCATTTATAGCCAATTTATGAGGAACATGCAACTTTATGCAATAACCGTAAAGACTTTTCATAATTCCCACAGTAACCCTATCAGAAGGCAACATATTTTGAACTTCTGCGGGTAGTATTTGAGGCACCTTCAGAAGGGGTGTTTGAGGGTCTCAGGAGGATACTGCAGCTAGTGTGGCAGAAGAAGGAACCGCAAGAATCTTATATTTTTAAAGTGAATGTTGCACCATGTTGCCTCAGGTTATTAAAGCATTACTCCTCACTTTTACTTGTAAATTCAATGGAAGTTAATAAAGGGAGGACATGGGGTAGAAAACAAAATGCATTTAAAATATTAATACTGGCTACTCAGCATCATAGTCACTTTAATCTTTGGCGTGGTCAAATGTGCAGAGAGTTGATGCAGTACTTCACCTCCCCCCAAAAATTGTAATTCTGTAATTTATTCACACACATTTCATTTTAAACACAAACTGTAAGTGCATTTGTTCATCTTTAGAGCACAAATAAGAATATTTTGAATGTTCTTTCTCATTATTTTTTGACAACCAGCAAAAAGTGTTGGTTATTGACATGCTTAGACTTCAAGCAGAAGTCAGAATAACAAGTAGGTGTGTAAATAATGACAGAATTATTACCTACTATGTATTTTAGCAAATATTAGAAGACAAACCCAAATGTTTACCAATAAACAGCAGGTTTGTTATAAAACTGATATAATTTCTCTACTTTTAGTCTGATGCAGAATCACTTATTAGAACATGCACAGATGCTATTTTTAGCAGCAGACACCCACTACCTCTAGTATATACTGCTTTTGGATTCAAACTACTTCTTAAAGCATGTAATCACAATTCTAAAGCCGGAAATATCCTCAGAGCAGCAGTTAAAAAGTCACTGATAATAACCTGTTATCAACTTTGCACCTGTGGGACCTGTAAATTATGTTCTAATTTCAGGTAGCAATTTTGAAATCTGTATTTTGACTACCCACAAACAACACATGGTGCATGAGAAAAGTGATACTTTCCTTCAGCATTATTGTGTTTCAGGTTTATTTATCAAGGGGAAATATACCTGATGAAGCTATGCATTAGAATTTGTATGTAGCCACTGGAAAATATTATGATGATTCTGATTGGCTGATGTCATTATAGGTGACTTATTTGCATTGTTGCATTTCCTTAAAAGCAAATCGTAAAAGCTACTGGCAATATTCAGTAATTTTGGGAAACATTAAGCTGATCTGGACGTCATGGTGGCCCTGGTGGTTTTCTCCGGGTGCTCCGGTTTTCCCATAGTCCAAAGACATGCGGTATAAGTCAATTGAATAAGCTAAATTGGCCATGTTGTGTATGTTTGAATGTGAAAGTGTATGGGTGTTTCCAAGTGTTTGGTTGCGGCTGGAAGGGTATCCGCTGTGCAAAACATATGCTGGATTTGTTGGCAATTCATTTCATCCATCCATCCATCCATCCATCCATCCATCCATCCATCCATCCATCCATCCACCCTCCCTCTATGTATAATGTATATCTGTCTATCTCTCTCTCTCTCTCTCTCTCTCTCTCTCTCTCTCTCTCTCTCTCTCTCTCTCTCTCTCTCTCTCTCTATATATATATATATATATAAACTAGGCAGGTAAGGACAATTAGACAAGTTATTGTATATCGATGGTCAGACCATCTTAAAGAGACTAATAATTTTGCCCTTAAAACCTTTTTAAAAAAATTGAAAGCTGCTTTTATTCTAGCCCAAAATAAAACAAATAGACTTTTTCTTCAGAAGAAAATATATTATTAGACATACTGTGAAAATTTCCTTGCTCTGCTAAATTTCATTTGGAAAATATATAAAAAAAAAAAAAAGGAATGCGGGGGCTAATAATTCTGACTTCAATGTAATCGGTGCAGAATATGCTGCCATTTTTTATGGCCATCTATGAATGCTAGGGATGTAACGGTATCAGAATTTTACGGTACGGTAATACCTCGGTATGAATGTCACGGTACGGTATTTATTGAATCATTTACAGGAAAAAACAAAACTTATGAAAATACTCCAAAAAAGTGCCAAAAGTGTCAATGACATACAAATTAGCCATCTATCTGTAAGTTTGAAACAGGAACTTCAATTTTAATAACAAAAAAATATTAAACCATGTAAAAAAATTAAGTTTCAATTTAGTAGTGTTGAAAACTCATCACATTCAACATTTAATCACTCACTCACTTAGATAGAGATGGGTTTAAAGGAAAATTATCATATAAATATAATCTGGTAAAAGCTGGTATCTCTGGGTATTTACAATATCCCCTGCAACAGAAAAAAACCCTCTCATTTGGGACTGAGGTTTCTGGGACAAGAGAGATATGACTTGGCCCTGGTTGACAGCAGTGGGTAACGTTGTGCATTGTCTTTCCCCCACTTGAGAGGACAAACCATGAGTGAGATAGAGGTCTCATGTCTGCATCAATCTGAACAGTGTGCTGTATTCTGCAGTCCCCATGACTGATTATTAGTCGTATTCCCCCACTTGCAGACACGTGCACACACAGGGCTCAACCTGTGCAGTGCACATGCCCTTTTTAGTCTTGGACAGAAAGTTCCCTTCCAAAATGATCAAAAGTGCCCCCGCGCTGGACATACCCTCCGTCCCGCTTTACAGTACGCGCGCGACAACACAGCTGATCAGAACGCGCGCGACAACACAGCTGATAAGAACTCGCGCGACAACACAGCTGATAAGAACTCGCGCGACAACACAGCTGATAAGAACTCGCGCGACAACACAGCTGATAAGAACTCGCGCGACAACACAGCTGATAAGAACTCGCGCGACAACACAGCTGATAAGAACTCGCGCGACAACACCGCTATTCAGTACGTGCGCGGCGACAACACCCGCTTTAGGGTTTTCCAGCTCTTTTTCATCCCCGCTTCTAGCAGCACACTCCATTTCCGCATTACTGGATCTGTAGCAACAACAGACCGCAAGGGATTATGGCCAAGCCTGGGCTGATGGGAATTGTAGTTTCCGGTACCTCCCGTTCGCTTCATTCGGCTGAGCAAATTTTCTCAGAAGACCTAAAGTTTTACCGAGTCATGCGACTACGGTAATATCGAAAAAAAATTAATATTGAGGTATGACGGTATTTACAATACCGTTACATCCCTAATGAATGCCAATAAGAATTTGATCTATAAATAAAGTGCTTTTATGCTGCCGTACAGGGTAGATGTGGCCTCTACCAACAAGGGATAATATTGTTATGCTATCCAGCTAAACTTTGACCCTTTGGTGACCGTATTTATAAAACCACTTTAGTTATTCCAGTTTGTTGTATTACCATAAATCTTGATAGTAGTCTACAAATACATTAAAAAACATTAGAACACACACACACACACACACAAAAAAAAAAAAACATTAAAAAAACACAATATATTCAGTGCTGAATATGATTGCTTAAATGCATCCTGTAGATAAGAATATTGTCACAAGCAAGTTTCATTGTGAGTCTGTCTGATCCTACAGGTCAAGCAATCTAAGATCAGAAGAATTACAGATTAAAGGAAAAGGGTGAAAAAAATGTATGTATGTATGTGTATATATATATATATATATATACACCAATAAGACTGCTGGACCTTCATTGAATTAAATTCCTGTTCAGTCAAAATGCTTAAGGACACATCATGGCCTCGCCGTAAAAGTCAGATAAGACAAGTTACCCTTATCTCTGTGTAAAATTGAAAAGAAATAAATCTACCTTTAGTTGATTTCCTTTGTTGAATAAATATTCTCATTTGAAGAGTATCTAGGGGAATGGCATATTATTGATTTTTCTGTCAGGGCTCATAGAAATATTTTCGCTGCCTAAATGAAAAGGTAACCTTCCTGGCCTTGCAGATCTGATCAGGTGGGATTCAAGTATTCCTTGAGGTGTTATTTTCCAGGGTATGATGCAGGTATTGAGAAGCCTCCTTTAATATGCTGCATGTGATCAGCCATCTTTCACTTTTGATGTGCCACTTCAATTGATAGAACCACTCCACCTCATGACCTCTAGTCATTCGTTATTATCACAGAGGTTGTCTGTGATCTTAATCCCATTCAAATTGGCCATGTCTGTAATTTGTAAAGTTATAACTCTCCTGTAAATTACCTACCATATTTTTGCTGAACACTAAGGTTTTGTAATATAATAATATAATGTTAGTCAAGTGTGAATCGACATCTTTGTGATTTAGACAGAATTTGCTGGGGTCATATATACATTTGTTTCGTGCACCGTTTTATCCACTGTTTAGATTTGATTGTAGCTTTATAAGTTGATGGGTGATACTGTATTTTTCATTTTGCAATTGCATATTGCAATATTGACCTCAATAATCGCAAG